CTCGACATCTTCGCAACTCACTTCTGACACCTCAGGTGCTGCCTCAACTCCTATCTTTCCTTCTGGAACTAGCCATGTCACTGCACACGCTGAAAGTCATGGCCTTCATTCTCGAGGAGGCCGCTCTGGTCGTGGTGGTGGCCGCTTTGGACGTCGTGGTGGTCGTTTTGCTCGTGTTCACTGTCAAATATGTTCCAAACCTGGATACAATGCTTCCATATGCTATCATCGTTACTCCAACTCTTCTCAAGGTATAAGATCTCCCTTCAGTCCTCAATTGATGTCGTTCAGGCCTGCTTATCCACCTCCTTTTGCATAATATCCAATTCCCAGAGCTTCTTCACCAAGGTATCAACAGCAACCTCAAGCTCTCCTTATTGGGTCTGATCCAAATTTCAACAATCAATGGTGCTACCCTGATTGTGGTGCTTCTCACCATGTTACTCATGATGCTTTTAACTTGTCTGACTCTGTTTCATTGCCTGGAACTGATCAAGTGTACATGGGAAATAGTCAAGGTTTGAATATTAACTCTGTAGGTTCCATGGATTTTACTTTACCTAACACATCCCTCACCTTGCATAACTTACTCCTTGTTCCACACATCATCAAAAATCTCATTAGTGCAAGTAAATTTGCTCTAGATAATAATGTTTTCTTTGAGTTTCATCCACAATTTTGTCTTGTCAAATCTCAGGCTTCCTCTGAAGTTCTGCTTCGTGGCACAGTTGGAGCTAATGGTCTTTACAAGTTTGCCAATCTTGCCTCTTCCTTAACCAAGCCTTTGTCCAGCTGCACTCCATCATCTTAATCTACAACACCTATTACATTTCCCTGTCATTCCTTTTCTAATCTTAAATGCTCATTCCTTTTCTAATGTTAAATGCAAATCAAACTCAACTGCTACAATCAACTGTATTTCCTTATGTAATAGTGATCATCTTAATAAAACTTCTCCTTAGTTTACCTACCAATAATTCTATTCCTTCTCAGTGTTATAATGTCACATCATTTATATCTAATAATAAGTATCATTTGTGGCATACCCGCTTAGGGCATCCTCACCACCATGCCCTTGCAGAAGTACTTAAGCTTTGCAACATACCCACGCCTTCAAAACCACCTAATGAATTATGCCCTCCCTGTTGCTTAGGAAAATCATAGACTTCCATCTTCTCTTTTCACAACTGAATATCATCGTCCCTTTGAGTTGGTTGTGTGTGATCTGTGGGGACCAGCTCCAATTCAATCATCTAGTGGTTATACCTATTTCCTAACCTGTGTTGATGCTCACTCTAGGTTCGTGTGGATTTTTCCACTCAAACTCAAGTCTGATACTCTCGCCCAATTTGTCCATTTTAAATCCATGGTTGAGCTTTAATTTGGTTGCAAAATCAAGAGTTTCCAAAGTGACGGTGGTGGTGAATTTTGTGCCTTCACCAAGTATCTTACTGAGCTTGGTATCATTCATCGTTTCACCTGCCCCCATACTCATCACTGATAGAAGAGATAGAAAGTATAGAAAAGCTTTTCATTTCTGTTACAGTATTGCAAAAGCTAGTTACAGAAGATGCACACAGTTGCATTTATAAGACAACTTATGTGACCTGCTACAGTAGGTAAGCTAGCACACAGGACTTGACAAATGTCACACAAACAAAGCTTAAACAGAACTAACGCCTCTATGATTTTGGCCTTAAAATGGACAAATTGGGTGAGAGTATCAGACTTGAGTTTGAGTGGAAAAACCCACACGAACCTAGAGTGAGCATCAACACAGGTTAGGAAATAGGTATAACCACTGGAGTGCATAATGGGATTGTGAGCCAGCATCACTGCAGACTGATTGTCACACAAAACCACAGGCTGTTTTGCAGGAACACAGAGTTCAGCTAACAAGGTTTGAAGCCAGAGTAAATCAGCAGTGGCCTGAGCTAGACTCCTGTATTCTGCTTTTGTGCTGGACCTAGCAACCACAGGTTGCTTCTTGGACCACCAGGATACTAAATTTTCTCCAAAATAGATGGCTGCACTAGATGTGCTACGCTTATCATCACGGTCTGAAGCCCAATCAGCATCACAGAAAACTTGAGCCAGAATTGGAGAGGACGCATTTCAGCAGTCGCCGCCGTGAACGGTGAGGTTGGCACCGTGACGTTAGCGGAAGACGACGATTCCAGTGACGCCATGGATCAAGAATGGCTTAATCTGATACCATGATAGAAGAGATAGAAGAGATAGAAAGTATAGAAAAGCTTTTCATTTCTGTTACAGTATTGCAAAAGTTAGTTACAGAAGATGCACACTGTTGCATTTATAAGACAACTTGTGTGACCTGCTACAGCAGGTAAGTTAGCACATAGGACTTGACAAATGTCAGTCACAAACAAAGCTTAAACAGAACTAACGCCTCTATCATTTTGGCCTTACTCTAATAATCACCAAAATGGCATAGTTGAAAGAAAACATCGCCACATTGTTGAAACCGATTTATCCATCCTTGTTCGGTCCAACTTACCCCTCAAATTCTAGGGCCATGCCTTCATTACTGCCTACCTTATAAAGCGTCTGCTTAGTCTCACCCTACAAAACCAATCACCATACTCCATTCTTATGCACAAAAGCCTTGACTACTCTCTTCTTAGGGTGTTTGGTTGTGCATGCTTCCCTTTCCTTAGACCCTACAATGCCCACAAACTTGCCTTTAGATCTCAGGAGTGCATTTTCTTAGGCTATTCCACCTCCCACAAATGGTATAAGTGTCTTGCCTCTGATGGTCATATTTACTTGTCCAAAGATGTCATCTTTCATGAGTCTAGATTCCCTTGGAATTCTTTCCCACCTCTGTGCCATTCCCATCTATGCCTTTTTCCTCTCACTCTTGGCTTATCCCAACTGCCTCTTTCTCTCCCACTCCCCTTCATCAAATTACTCCTTCTCCCTCTCCTCCTCCTACACCACATTCCTCTATCAATAGTACTCCCAATGCCACTCCCTCCCTATCTTCTCCCACCTCTCACTCTCATTCTACCACTACAAGTGCTGCTTCTTCCAGCTCTGACATAGCTGAAGCTAGCACTATCTCTCCTTCAACTGCGTCTTTAACATCAACTGCACCTCTTCCCACTGTACCTTCACACTCTCAGCCTTTAGTTCATCCTCTTAACATGCAAACTAGTGCCAATCATGGCATAGTTAAACCCAGAGTGCACTCTACCCTTCTGCTCACCAACATGGAACCTATAACTGTTAATCAGGCCCTGCCCTCTTCTCACTGGTTTCATGCTATGAATGATGAGTATCAGACACTTTTGAAGAATCAAACTTGGACATTGGTGTCTCTTCCTGCACTAAGAAGCCCATTGGCTGTAAATGGGTGTTCTGAGTCAAAGAAAACTCAAATGGCTCTGTCAACGAGTACAAGGCCAGACTTGTTGCTAAGGATTTTCATCAACAGGCTGGTAGTGAATATACAAAGACATTCTCTCCTGTTGTGAAATCAGTCACTGTCAGAACTATTCTTACACTTGCACTTACAAATAAGTGGTGTATTCAACAATGACATGCTTGAGGAAGATGTTTATATGCAGCAGCCCCTGGGTTTGAATCAGCTGATAAGTCTTAGGTCTGCAAGTTAAACAAGGCACTCTATGGCCTTAAATAGGCCCCTAGGGCCTGATTTGAAATGTTAAAAAGCTCTCTGACACAGTTTGGGTTTCAGGCCAGCAAGTGTGATCCCAGTTTATTTATGCTTCACTCCAACACCTTATCTATTATGGTCTTAATCTATGTTGATGATATCATCATCACTGAAAATTCTTCATTTATTGGAAAACTAGATTATTTCTTGGGCATTGAAGTCTCTCATCTCCCAAATGGCTCATTACTCCTGTCACAAACCAATTGACCTTCTAGCCAAAGCTAATATGCCATATGCAAATGGTATGCCCACAACTATGATATCCGACAACAAACTATCTAAGTTTGGTTCTACTGCTGTTCCTGATCCCACTCATTTTAGATCTATAGTTGGGGCCCTTCAGTATGCCACCCTAACAAGGCTAGAGATTTCCTACTCAATTAATAAAGTTTGTCATTTTCTATCCAAATCTCTTGAGGAACATTGAAAAGCTGTAAAAAGGATCCTTAGATATCTAAGTGGAACTCTGCATCATGGGCTACTCATTCTGGCTGCTCCCATTCAACAACCTCTGCCTCTTATAGGTTTCTGTGATGTTGACCGGGCATCAAACCCTGATGACAAAAGGTCTACATCAGGTGCCTGTCTTCCTAGGTCCTAACATCATTTCTTGGTGGTCAAGAAAACAGACTCTAGTGGTCAGATCTAGCGCAGAAGTAGAGTACAAAAGTTTAGCACAACTCTCTGCAGAGATTCTTTAGGTTCAGTCACTTCTCAATGAGCTTAAATGCAAATTTCAAACACCCAAGATTTTATGTGACAACCTTAATACTGTCACTCTTGCTCATAATCTAGTTCTGCACAATCGTACGAAGCATATGGAAATGGACATTTTCTTTGTGAGGGAAAATATTCTCAACAAAAGTTTGATTGTGGTTCATGTTCCTGCCCAGGATCAGTGAGCAGATGCTCTCATCAAACTCTTGTCTACCTCTAAGTTTCTTCATCTGCGTGACAAGCTCAGGGTCTTTGACAAACACAGTTTTGTCAGCACACCCTCAACTTCTGCGGATGAATTTTAGAGATAATAATAAAATATATAAGTTTTCTATTTTAGATTTTATAAGATTTAGAGAATATCTCCTTGACAGCTGTCTTAAATCTCCTTGTACAGCTGTCCCACTATAGCTGTAATGGGTTTCCTATATAATGGAATCTTGTATTCCTCGTGAAAATCAATATACAAGGTCTTTCATCAGATTTTTTTCTAACAACATTCTCTCTCTAATACCATTTCTAACACGGTGCATGTTGCCTGATAGCCATATGATGTGCCTGGTAGCCGTATGATCCGTCACCAATGCTGGCTGCCAATACCAATATGTTGCATCCCAGGTGTAGGACCAAATCACAGGCCTACACATAGAAGGCTCAGTCGTTTGACCTATAGTGAAAAGAAGAAACCGATTTGTCCTTGAGAAATCCCCTCCTAAACTAAAACAGAGATAAAGTGCATGTCTGGATTTGCTGAAATTGACGGAATTACTGGGAAACACTAACTTTGGTAAGCAAAAACTTTGGAGCTTCAATAATCACGGCCACGTTGCACACATGATTTTTTCAAACTCACCGCTAATCTGAACATACATAAAATAAATCAGCAAGAGGCTTATCTGATCTAAAAACCTGCAAGAGGCTATTTGCATGACTTGAATCTGTTACCTCTTACAGTAACAATTCCAACCATTTCAACAGGGCTCTTATTCATTTGATGGGTAATATATCACAATATACTTGGTGTTTTAATACATTGATGTTGCAATTGACTTCATGTTCAATAATCATTATATGTTAGAGGCATATGGTGTTTTGCTTGTATATATATTTGAGTTTGGTATCATTTTAGCATCTACATTTTTTTATCGTTGTTATTTTTCCATTGCAGAAAAATTGTGCTAGCAACAAATATTGCTGAGAGCAGCATCACCATAGATGATGTTGTGTATGTCGTAGACTGCGGTAAAGCAAAGGAAACCAGCTATGACGCTCTAAACAAGCTTGCCTGCTTGTTGCCATCATGGATTTCAAAGGCTTCTGCACGTCAGGTATTGAAGTCGTGGAACAAAACTTTTTAACAACATAAGGTTTATTGCTCTCATTGAACATGTGAATCTTCGGAAAACTTGCAATATATCTTATTCTTGTATTTGCTGAATGATTAAATATTGTCTGTGAGATTCTACTCCCCCTCTCACCCCCACCCCAAATCTATTTATAAAATTCACGAATAAAGTATGAACAGACTATGTTTTACTGTTACTAACGGGCAGACTATTTCAGAGACGTGGACGTGCTGGTCGAGTACAACCTGGAGTTTGTTATAGACTGTATCCAAAACTGATCCACGATGCTATGCCAGAGTATCAGTTACCTGAAATCCTCCGAACACCTTTGCAAGAATTGTGCCTGCACATTAAAAGCTTGCAGCTGGGAACTGTGGCATCATTTTTAGGAAAGGCACTTCAGCCGCCGGATTCACTTGCTGTTCAAAATGCTATAGAACTTCTGAAGACAATTGGGGCATTAGATGACAAGGAGGAGCTTACTCCATTGGGTATATTGTGCTGGACATGCTTGTCTCAAGCTTTTTATTTAGTCTTAAGCTATGTATGTTATCTGAGCTAATTTGATCTTTACAGGGCGGCATCTTTGTACTGTACCTTTGGACCCTAATATAGGGAAGATGCTTCTCATGGGCTCTATCTTTCAGTGCCTTAGTCCTGCCTTAACTATTGCTGCTGCTCTTGCTTACCGTAACCCATTTGTCCTACCTATAAACAGAAAAGAGGAAGCTGATGCAGCAAAAAGATATTTTTCTGGCGATTCTTGCAGGTTAGTTGGTCATTGATATTGTTTGAGAAATTTCCCTTCTCAATGCTCGGTCAAATTTTACTCCATTACCCACACTTGTGCTTGCTTAATTATAAGTATTTTTTTATTTTATTCAGTGATCATATAGCCCTTCTTAAAGCTTTTGAAGGATGGAAGGAGGCAAAAAGTAGGGGGGCTGAAAAGGAATTTTGTTGGGAAAATTTCTTATCCCCGGTGACCTTGCGGTTGATTGATGATATGAGAACGCAATTTCTCAACTTATTATCTGGCATTGGATTTGTTGACAAGTCGAAGGGTGTCCATGTAAGCCCTTGTCCTTGTCCTTTCCATTTTTCGTTGAAGCACATCCTCCCATATCCTCTTCTAACATAGTTTCTCACTCTTGAATGAACTTTGTTTAATTTTTTTCCTATTGACTTGATTATAATAGTTTGGGCACTTCTCTCATCTTATTTTTACTTTTTCTAAAAAGAATTGTGGAAGTGAGACATTATTATTAAAGTGACACAAATGACCATTTGAGAAATATCTGAGGAGATTTGAACTTCGTCTCCGGTGGTTATATTGTTAAACTCTTACCACTGAGCTCTCATTACATATTTCTGTTTATCTCTGAAAGTAAAAACTAGTTTATGGCAAAATTTTGAACGGCACGGAAGTTTATCAATCTGGATGTATGTCTCTGCAGGCTTACAACCAGTACAGTCATGATTTGGAGATGGTTTGTGCAATTCTTTGTGCTGGGCTCTACCCTAATGTTGTGCAGTGCAAAAGAAGAGGAAAGCGGACAGCATTCTACACTAAAGAAGTTGGGAAGGTTGACATCCATCCCTCTTCTGTAAATGCTGGGATTCATCTCTTCCCTCTACCTTACTTGGTATATAGTGAAAAAGTTAAAACATCCAGCATCTATATTCGAGACTCTACCAACATTTCAGATTATGCACTACTTCTGTTTGGTGGTAATCTCGACCCTAGCCAAAACGGTGAGGGCATTGAGATGCTTGGAGGTTACCTTCATTTCTCTGCTTCCAAGAGTGTCATTGAGTTGATTAAGGTAATTAATTTCCTTCAATCTTTTTCCAGCCATTATAAATTGTTTGAGTTATTTGCTTACACAACAATCTTTTGGTAACTGGATATGCAGAAATTACGAGGGCAGCTTGACAAGCTTCTGAACAGAAAAATTGAAGAACCGGGGTTTGACATTTCTGGTGAAGGAGAAGTAGTGGTTGCTGCTGCTGTTGAATTGCTTCACAATCAAAACATGCGATAGTTTTTTTCCTCAGGATTTTGCTAGTAGTTTTCTTTAGTAAAAAAGGACTTACAATACTCAACAAGGAAAGGAGGAAGGGAGAGAGAATTTCATATCAGATTTTTCCAGTTATTTTTTCTGTGCAGTATAGCTCTTGAAAAGTAGCATGTGTTGCATGACAACCATATAAACCTTGTAGGCTATATTTTTAAGTTCCTTGACTGAGGCATATTTATATTGTGTTTGGAATCACTTTTGAACAACTTGCCATTGTTTTGGATGTGTTTTCCACTGGTATCCGTTAGTATTACTGACAAGTTTTTCTATAAAAGTAATTAAAGTTCCAAGTGATTTTTAAGATTCAGCCGAGTCGATGTTTTCTTAAATAAGCCAAACTTATTTTAAAAATATGAAAGTTCGACTTTTTCATCTAAGGTTTTATTTTAAGTTTGAGCTTGGTTTTTTAAAAGTTTGACAGAAAAATCTTTATTATGAATTCTGTTAAAATTTTATTTCGTTATATATTATGAATTGGTTTTTTTTATGATATACTAGTAAAAGTTTTAACGATATATAAATATTAATTTAATTTATTAAGTTATAATAAATGACTATATAATTCAGTATATTTTAAGAAATTATGTTAAAGTAAATGAGTATATAGTTTAGTATATTTTACACAAAATCAATTATCTACTCATGCGTTTTTATGTGTTGTGTAATATTGTTATTAAATAGTAAATAAATATATGATGGTTAGTTATAAAATAATTTTCATGTGTTGTGTAATATCGTTATTAAATAGTAAATAAATATATGATGGTTATTATAAAATAGTAAATAAATATAGTACAGTGATGGTTAAATATATTGATGGTTAATATTTTTTCAATTTGATTTTAAATATATTGATGGTTAATATTTTTTCAATTTGATTTTATTTTTTTTCGTATATGTCATAATATCATATATCAATTTTATTAAATATATAATATATCAATTAATTTATTCTCTTTCATATCAACATTAATAAAAGGACTTATCTTTTTATTCAAAAGTATTACGGTAGAAAAGTAGATTATAATCATTTTATTATTTATTATTGATATTTTTTATCTATTTTTATTTATCATATTTTTAGTATTTATTATTATTGTATAGTATTATTTTTAATTGGTTGGTAAAAAAATATGAATCAATTATATGTTATTAGTGTTAATTATTATTAATATTATTAAAAATATAATAAAATACAATTCAATTCATCTAATTTGAATCAATCACGCAAAAGGACAACACGAAAAATCCAAATATTTCATTGTTTGCATGGACAATCAAATTGTCTTTATATTTTCCACTGCTACTTTATTATGCACATGTTCGGTTGGTAATCGAAAAATTGTCTTATTCTCCAAAAAAATGCAAGATGCCAATAAAATAAATCTCAATCATAATTAAAATAGAAAAATATATTAAAATTATTTTATTATTTTTCATTAATATTTTTTATGAGTAATATTAACCGGTGCCTTCGAACACATTAAGAAATGTTAATTATATTGTGAGTTCATTAACATTATTTTAAAAAAGAAATTAATAAAATATTATTTAAGACAAAACAAACATTTAAATTTTCTAAACCATACATTTTTTCTGAATTTGTGTCCTCTTTTCTTTTTTACTTTCATTTATTCCACTACAAAATAATTTGTATTTTGCCACGTGAAAGCCACGTCGCTAACACCCAAATCACACCACTATTCAATTTTTGCCACCTTAAAAAACACGTCGCTGTATAGCGCGTGACAATCTTGTTGCGGCGTGAAAAACATGTCACAACGTTACCACGTGAAATTCACGCCGGAACAGACTTTATAGGATAAAAGTGTTCAGAGCAGAGCAGAGCAGTTTATATTTATCTTTACATTTGTTGTTGCGGCGTGTTTTTCACGTCACTAATTAGTGACATGAAAAACACGCCGCAACTTGTTTTTAAAAAAAAACATTTTGTGTTTTAAATATATTAATTCTGTTATAATAATTAATATTATTTTTTATTTTATTAAATTTATAAATTAAATATTATAATTTATTTATTAAATACAATATTATAAATCAAATTATCAAAAACAAAACTAAATATATCTAAATGTATAAATAAATATACTTAATATTATAAATTTAATAAACTCAAATTTAAATTTATAATAGTTTTAAATATACAATATGATTATAAATTTATATTACACAAATAAAAAACTAAATACAAAATAAAAATAAAACTAAGCAGAATCATTCGAGTCGTCGGAAAAGTCGGGAAGAAAGTCATCATTATTTTGGTGGTTATTATTTTGGCCACCACTGTTGGGATTTCTACCAAATGCTTGCATAAATTGTCGCATTTGCTCCTCCATATCAGCCTGCCTCTTCGCCATTGCCTCAATTTGTCTATTATGTTCACCCCTCATTGCCTCCATTTGGGCCTTCAATGCCGCCTCACGATCTTCAGACTCGCGTCTAGCCAATTGTCTTACCAGTTCTAACTGATCTGGTGTCAAATTTGTTTGACGTGACCCTCCTTCACCGTCTGCAGCTCTCTGATACAGATTTCTATCTCCACTCCTCAAGGTGCCCGCCAAATTTCCACCACCAAAAAAACACCCGTTAGGCCCCTTTCCCCCAACAACTTGACTCCAAATATAGAAATTCACATCTGGATGAACCGGTTTTCCTGGAGGAGGAGTATACTGAGGATTATGGGTCAGAAATTCTACAAGCAAGGCCTGATAATCCTCCTACACATACAATAAAAAAATCAAGTTAAATTTATAAGTAACATTAATGAAATTAAATGAAATAAAAAAAATAATAAAAAACAAATAGCCACATGATTGTAACGCCACAACTTATCAGTTGCCACTCAATTTTCACGCCACAACATGTCACTTGCTACATGAAAATCACGTCACAAAATTGCTTAAAAAAAATATAAACATAAATTTACTTATCAGGGCTTTTTTTGTGCGCTCGTCAATAAATCCTCCCGATTTCTTTGTCCGAGTTTCCTTAACCAGCTCAGTCATCAATGGTTGTCTCCCCAAACGCTTAGCGTAAATAAAAAAATTAACTTAAATTAATAATATATTATAAATCCTAATATGACTTTAAAAAGTGGTAATAATTACCATGCGTCGAGCATGCTCAGCAGTACTAATACTTCCAACAGCATTAAGGCAACCCCCTTTTTCTGATGCCCTCATCTTCTTTGCAGTTTCAGATTTAGCTTTAAATTCATCTGATTCCCAATACTTAAGAAGTTGTTCAAAAACTTCTTTGCCTATCCATTTGGGACGAATGCCCAAAAGGTGCCAATTCTCTCTAACACGTCGTAGCATGTGAGAAAGTCATCTTGAACTCTTGCCAAAATATTTTTTTTTACTTTGTTATGGTTCAGGGGATCTCAAACACATTTCGCCTGCAATATTGTATGACATTAAAATAAATAGTTAGATAAATTATAACAATAATGAAAATATCATTTAAATAAAAATAACTTAAGAAATAAATTAATTATACCTGAAATTGCTTGAACCATTCTTCTTTATCAGAAACTTCTCTAAAACTCTTCAAATTTTTTGTATAATTCTGCTGAATTATATAATTTATAACCTTAGCAGCAGTCCGGCTCGGCACGAAACTAAAACAACAATAATTGAATTAGCATAATTAATTATATAAAGTTATATTAAAAATGGAAATGTGTACTTATAAATAAAAATCAATAAATAAGAAACTTACGAGTTCCCTTCAGGCCAAATCCAAAATCTCCCATCAATGGTATGAATCTCACTCGGATCATCATCCCCTCGAAGATCTCTCCCATCTATCTGATCATCATCCACACCAAGATCGTCATCATCCTACTCTGCATGATCATCGGATACAGGTACATGTGTGGGATGTGGGATGCGACCAGTCTGTGTGGATCGTGAAGAGGTGGATCCTCCAGGCTGTTGGACGGATGGGGGCATCTGTGTAGGAAGTGGGGTGCTGGATCCTCCAGGCTGCTGCACGAATGAGGGCATCTGGGTGGGAAATGGAAAACTATGCTGGAAGGATAAGGGCACCTGTGTCTGCTGGAAGGATGAGGGCACCTGTGTTTGCTGGAAGGATGAGGGCACATGTGTCTGCTGGAATGGTAAACCAGGTGGGGGCCCAAATGGACTAATAAAACATGTACTCCCATATGGGAACTGAAGAGGACTCTGAGATGATAGTAATGGAGTAAATGGCATAGTACTGTCCATGGACATATGATGAACCTGACTCTGCGGGGGAGGACACGTGGATGAGTGAGGTGACTAGCATACTACTACCTTTGGACGCCTGGGCTTCCTACCACTATCACTAGGATCTTTACCCTTATTATCTTTGGGTGGCATTTTTACCTAATTATAGAAAATACAAGTTAACATATAATATATTTGAATTATAAGACACAATTCTCATGAATACATATTCATTAACTCATTCAATAGATGGTTCGTCAAGTAAAATTACAAGACACAACTCTCATGAATACATATTCATTAAATCATTCAATAAATGGTTCGTTAAGTAAAATTATTACAAGACACAATTCTCATTAATATAGGTTCACTATTCTAAATCGTCATGCTCGTCATCCATATCATCCTCGTCATCTGATGTGATATTATCCTCGGATCCAGAATCTTCATGATCTTCATCCTCATCAACTTGATTCCCCTCAACCATTGTATCAGACAAACTTGTAGTGTGTTCATCTGGAATCACATCATTAACTTCAACTTCATCAACTTGGTAAGCAACATCCTCCACTAGATCGTCAGTTTCAATATGACCCAATGATTTTGTTTTTATTACAACACAACACCGTTGTTTACGTGGCACAAATGAAGGATAAGGAACATAATAAACTTGCCTAACAATATTTGACATTATGAAAGGGTCGTACTCTTTGTACCTCCGGTCCATTTGAA